CCCATTGTCCTGCCAAACGATGTGACAGTAACAACGCTCCCCTGTGTTTTGAGGGAGCTGCAAAATATTCTCACTGAACCCAGCTTTTGCTGCCTCCCCCCCACCCCCAAGACTTTGCTTATCTTGTTCTCTAGACATCTGCAGCATGCCGAAAACTCCCAGAGCTCAATGTTGTCTGTCACAGAAATTGTGCGCTGGGTGGATAATCTAAAATTAGTCATCCACAGTATGTGCCCCTTTAAATGTTAATCCTTGCATCGTTTTCTTTTATTGCTTCTGTTGGCATACACCATTATGTGACATAATATAAAAGTAAATAATGTGATGCAATGGGTAAAACTCAAAGGGAAATACGTATCAGAGATCAGATGCCTCCTACCACAGAATATGAAATAAAACTTACAGTGACTCAAGAGTGAGGATTTTGCCCCTTTGGAGGGCAGCAAAATCAGCCGTATAGTGATTCCATTAGCCTTTCTGGAGGCTTTTGACACTTCCCAGCTCTTGAAAACCCATCTTCATTCAGTGCTGTAGCCACTTCTTGTCTTCAGGTGCAGAAGTAGCTGTCAGGGAGTAAGTAACTGTGGGTAATGGATCCAAAGCAAAGCCCAGCAGGGCTGTATGGCAGGGCCTTTAAAAAAAATTTAAAAAAAAATTCTGTTTAAATATCACAAGCCTTAAACAACAGTGCAAAACATGCACCTGAGATCTTATTATTTATTTTCCAGCATGCAAACCCTTCTCGGGGGAGGGCAGGTACGCAAAGCTGAGGACTTGGCTTGTTCAGTTGCTTCCTGGTAGGAAACCTGTGGGAAAAGCACAAGCTGAGACTCAGCAGTTACAAGATAGGCAGCAGCTGAGCTCAGATTTAAAGATAAAGCCTGAAATAGCAGAACCCAATGCAAGACCAACATTTTTTGACCCCTTTGCCCGGATTCAGTAAAACATATGGGTACCTCGGTGTGCGATTTTGCTTTTGCTGAATTGAGGTTTGAGTTACTCACTAGTCTATTTTTACCTTTTAAGCGGCCTTGTAATTCAATATGTGTTTGTTTTAATTTTACACTCTCCATAAAAAGCACCGTCCATGACGAGTTGGAGAAGTGACCGCTGGTAGCGCACAGAAATCTAACCGGCTGGTGTATCACACCGTCTTACTTTCCCCCCGCTTGCAAACCCACGTGCCGCTCGCAATCAAGAATACCCCACGATATCCCGTGCCTCTTCCATCACCTCGGCTGCGCCGCTGAGGTGCTGGAGATGCCGGGGCGGGGTGAGATCAGCCCAGGCCGAATCCAGGTCACTCTGCCAGCCCCACTCGCTCGTGCCACTGGCGGTGGGGAACTGCCAGGGCTGCGAGGCGGGGGGATGGGGCGGTGATGGCATAGGGACGGTGGCTTCCCCGACGCTGGCGGATGTGCCAGGAGCGCGCCTGCTCTCGCCTGCTGGCAGCTCGGGCTACATCTCCACCTGTGGGGGTGAAAGCCAGAAAGCCCTCTTTCTGCAGCCCAGCACTGGTGTTGGTGTCAAGGGTTGTAGGAGGAGGGCGTTCCCGCCGAAGGCAACGCGCAGGCTTGGCTCTGCTTTTCCCTCTCAGTCATTTTGCCAATACCGCAGATTTTCAAACTGCTGCTAATGTGTTTTCAATTTGACAACGCTGATATGGAAACCCCCCATATCGTATCACAACCCCCTGGCTCCGAGCTGCCTTTGTGTGGTGTCTCAGCAATCCAGAGCTGATAAATACCGGAGTGTTGGAAATGAGCCTCCTCCTCTGGTCTCTGCATCCTCCCAGCATCCATGTGCTTTAGGTAAGGATGCAAAAATTGCTATACCAAATGAAACAAATTAAAGGGCTTCTGTTTTCCTCTGGGCTCTTCTGACCAAAGTGTGGGGTGAAAAATCTGCAGTGCACCCGATTAGTGGTAGAAGGTGTGTCTAGGCACAATGTCCTTTCTTGCTCCTGTGTTGGTCACCGTGGTGCCTGAAGCATTGCCATCATGCATCCCTGTTGCCATCAGCGTGTTTGATAGCACTGGGAAGGCTTCGTGCCTGTGTTTACACTCACCAGAATTTTGCAGTGCTCAAGGAGCCAAAATGACTTGAGATTTTTGTTCTTA